GTTTTTCTTCAAGCATAATTCGCAAAGGATTCTATTTCATTCAGGTCCAGCAACAAATGGATTAAATGCAGTAAACGATGATGGGCTAAGTAAGCAATGCCCCAAAGTATGACATCGTTTTTATCCTCATTTCATCTGTGAGGAATGAAGAAAAAGATACAAATGAGATGGCCCAGAGTGCTATATTACAGTACAAACAGCAACGTCAGATCTTCTACTGTAGTCGTTAATGCTCTCATTTTGGTAGAGTATTGAAACATAGGGAGGCAAAGGCCGCTTGTGCTGCACCTGAAAGATTCCATGGTTTTACTGATCCAGGAATCCCATCAGCCTATTTTACCGGTTGCATATCAATGCAATAAGAGGTTGAGTACACCATCATTACTTAATTGGTGTTATCCTCAAGCGGTAAGCACATCTTCGATTAGCGCTGATATACCTATTACTTGTCAGATTAAGTGAAATTTAGCACGATGTTGACAACATGTGTTACTGTTTCCATTATATTCGTTATGTTAATGTATGAGATATCGTATTCTCTCAAAGAAGTGATGAACGACGATGATGCAACGACCATTTCGAGTATCCGGGATTGGGGACCAGTTAGCTATGGTATGTCGTGACAGAATCAATAACGAATAATAAAGCTTTTTTTCCGTTTTAGCTGGTTCAGAACTACCAGATGTAACGACCGTTTCAACTAATCGAGATTTAGGAGCTATTAGTTACGGTATGTCTATGCAGATGTTGGAACAACAAGCAGTGAGAGAAATTCTTCCTTTCAGCTGGTTCAGAATTGCCGTCTCTAAAGAAATGAAAAAAGTGGAATTATATGGTCCAAGAGATGTTTGAATAAACTTTTTTCTTGATCGTTGTCGTTGATTCTTTTTTAAAAAGCATTTTGTAGCCTTGCTTTTGATTGGTAAACTTTACCAACGACTAGATCCCCCTTTCACATATTTCGACTGAATTGAGGAATACATTTTATATCATTACTCATAATAAAGAGCGTTGTCTGTGTGTATGTGGGTATATGTGTGTCTTTCTCCGCTGTCACGAAATTTTGTCCTTATAAAATCAAAAAGCAGCTATCAAGCGCTATCATGTTAATTGCAGAACAATAAGTGAAAATAAGCAATTTTGTTCTAAAAACGTGGTAAGTTGGTTGTTCATTTCGTGTTGCTATGACAGCCTCAAGTTGGAATAAACAGTTCTTGCGCCTTTCTCCTTTGAGAAGGCATTTAGAGCTAAGATCAGGACTTCGATGCTTTCAGCAAAGATGCACACACGACAATTTTTTTAAATGATGTAGTGCTTTTAAAGTGTTGAAGTTAGCTTTCCTAGAAAGTATAAGTGCGATTGAAGCAGGAAAGGTAACAGAAGTTAGAAACAAGCCAATTATAATCCATTGGAGAGAGAAAAAGGGATAATGCATTCTTCTAAAGTAGGCTCAAACATCCTGCTTACCGTTAGGCAAAACAACTTGATGAATTGGTTCTCTGTTTATTTCAGGCACACAAGGTGTGCCAAAAACAAAACAAATACTGTATTTGCGTTATTTTGGATTCACACGGGCAATAAATTCATCAACTGCAACTCGTTTTTTTTCCTAAAAATTTCAAAAGGAAAGGGAAAAGGCGTGATTAGGCCTAGTCGTTGAGATGCTTCCATTCTGCCTTCCTTCTGCAGCCACCCCGCTACTAGAACATCAGAATATGTTACAGCGGAAAACTCCAAAAGCTGTAAGCTAATGTAGGGCATTACGCGAGCGTTCGCTAATTTAATTTAACAACTTCCTTTGGAACTTTTTTCGGTGTAAGCATTGCGTTACTGGAGTTTAGGGACTATACAAAATTGGCACCTCAACTTCATTGCAGAGTACTATCTGATAAATCATTCCGATACCTTTGTCACACATTGTAACCTTATAAGGTTCTTTTTTTCGAATTTCTTGATTAACATCACGTGTTGCGCTGTCTTAACATTTCTACAGTACTTTTGCATTACGAAAGAAGTTACAAGAATGGAAACCATATCAAGTAGCCGAATTTGGATAAAGGCGAGTTTAAAGACTAGAAATGTAGATTCCTAAATGATTTTTTCGTCAGCATCAGATTGGCACAAAATTCCCGCTTGAGTCTTACCTAAACAACGCTTAAAAATCCGTTACATTAAGGCGTTGTTACTGTACAGACCCTGGGAACAAGACAAGAACCGCAACGCTGTTTACTTGGAGCGCTAAAACGATTTAAGGCCCTAGCAAGGAAGGGAGAACGTGCTTATCTGGTTACTTCTCTATAAGGTGGCCAATGCCTGCATAAAAATGTTTGATATGGGAAGCTAAATTATGTTAAATTAAAAAAGGTTCGCCATTGGAGACCTCAGGTCTCCCGTAGGTCTCCGAGAAGGCTTATCAGAGGGTACGGCGAGTGTAGGTACTCAATATCCTTGCATAGAATACTCAGACTCCTTGTTGCGCATCTTGTTACGAATCTTGGGGGCATTTTGATGGTTATTCGCTTTGAAAAGCGAGTTGAAATGAATTACTGAAAATACTTTGATTTTCTCGCGCAATTCTTGGAGCAGACTTGGACGAGTTGTAAGGACAGACAGGTAATTATCGGATTGTAAAGTGAGTATTGAGAATGGCAAAATCAGAAGGAGAAACTATAATTTGTCAGACTCCCGGATCCCTTACGATCTTCCCAAAAACGATTTCCAGCTTGCTTTCCGGAGATCTTTCGCGGAGTTCTGGTCAGTATTTTGCTAACTTCGGCAGGTAACATTTAGTTTATATAGCAGAAATTTCTTTCACGAAATCTTTTTTGGTCAAATTTCTGCAGAAAAGTAATGGGATGAATTACGTAAGGTAAATTAGCAACATGAGGTTCAGCTAGAAGGTGTGATTATGCTTTGATAAATTAAATTTCCTCTATCTCACGTGTGCTCCAAAACTGATGTTTTGCGTCGCGAGGGAAAATGCGATAATGATGTAAGTGCCCCATGGAGGTTCCGCAAATGCTCTAATAGAACATTCTGTAGTAATAGACAAAATTAACTCTTACCATCTTCTCCAAACATTTCTCTATTACCAATAGCGTATCGCTCAAATGACCTTAACTCTTGATATAAAAAGAGTTACTTTGGTGTGTATGCATCACTACTTACTTTGTACCACTCACACACGGTAGTCCATTCCCCTTTCAGCAATGATGTCTACTCAGTTTACCTGACTTTCAGCGAAATGCTGACAACATGCGTTACAGTTTCTATTATATTCGCTATGCTAATGTATGAGATATCGTATTCTGTCAAGGAGACATTGAACGAGGATGATGTAACGACCGTCTCTAGTGTTCGAGACTATGGACCAGTTAGCTATGGTATGTCACGAAAGGAGAACAACAACATTCAAGAGGCTCTTTTTCCTTTAGCTGGTTCAGAATTGGAAACTATGTGAAGCTAAAGGAAAAAATTTTACTGTTATAACAACATTACTTGAATAAAGTCTTATTGCGATAATACTTAATTTGCTTGAAAGCAGCTGAAAGTCACCTATGTGTAAGGTTTGATCAGAGTTAATTAGGAAATGGTATTGCTGCTTTAACAGATTAAACGACCAGTAATCACCAATTATGTAGATGGTCCTCGTGTGGTTAAAAAGACGAACAACTGAACAATGCTTTTTTGCTCTATAAGTGTAGGTGTTGGGTTGGATGCATTTTGCACAAGGCTGGGCTCTGCTCTGAAAAAGCTCGAAAGTTTTGCCTAAAAATGGCGGCGAAAGGAGGCAATTGGAGTGGCTTAAGCTACATATGTGAGGTAGAAAGTTTAGTTACATCTTGTTATGCGTCGCTGCAAAGTGGGTTTTGAGCAACTTATCTTGCTGTTCACTAAAGGTTTTAAGTGAGTCTTTAATTTGTAGATGTTGACCGTAATCTTCGGACATTCAACTTTGAGTTTCTTAACATAATTCTTGGCTTGAATAATGGATTTTGAGATCTGTCCCACCTCATTGTCGCCGCTGGGCATACGGTATACGGTATTTCTCATTCCAAGTGGTTATCAACGAGGCGTGGATGGTTTCAAGGACGTGGAGGGGAAGCTTTTAGCCCCGCCAACCATTCGCACCAAGATTCAAGCTTGACATCTGACAAATGATTTACATTCATCTGGGTTACACCAAAATTAGTGACTTGCCTTTCATTTGGATCCGATTCCAATTTATACGCAGCATCACCAAGTCCTAAATTGCTGGACGTTCAATTCTGTCTCAAAAACATCTATAAAATCTTCACCTGTCTGGCCTCTGACCATCGATATCCTCAAAAATTTTCCTAGATATTTACTTCCTCAAGCAAAAACGATAAATAGAAGAAGGCGGAAAATAAGAAAAAATAATGCAATGAGCAAATTGCTAATCACCGGAAACAATGACACACTGTAGACGTAGCTGCTGATGGTGGGTCATTTGTGCAGTCCATGTGTATAATGACAAGGCAAATGTAGCACTTCTAAGTGAATGCTGTTAGCTACTGTTACTGCATCTCTGCAGTTATGTGGGACTTTTATAAATTTTTAAATAGTTGTTATTTGCTCATAGGTGCGTCTGTTCAACGTGATGTCATTATATATCTAAATTTACTCTAACCGACTGGATATTCAAGGTGACTTGTACTAGATGAGGTCTCATAAAAAATTCCAACATTCACATTATCTTAGGCAACTTGTAGACATGTCACATCAGATACGTCAAGGACAAAGTTGCAGACAGTTAGACAATGAGTTAGTCGAAGCTTTTATGAGATGACAAAACAATTCAAATTCTTGTTGTAAAAGTTTGCCCTTCTAAAAAATTCTAAGTTCTTGTAATGGACTCACCCAAATTAAAATAGACATCTGCTTAAGCACGTAATTAGCAGTTTACTAATATTAATTTGCTGGAGGAAACCCCAGCAAGTTTGACTAGTGTCCTCGAATATGCAGATTTATTTATCGAGGTAGAATATAATGAAAAAAATGGCTAGGCGAGTAGCATAAGTGACCTGCTGGTGTTACCTTCTTCAAGCATCCCAGCAAGATGAAAATACGGCACGAAATATTTCATGTTTAAATCCACAAGGTCTCACGCAATCTTTAAAGCACTTAACTCTCCTCATTTTTATTATGTTCGCAAGACTGCGAGGGCTTTGGGTTTGAAATATTCTTCGGTACTTGTAGGGTTACGCAGTAGGACTGGCCCGAAGACACTAAAAATCTACATTTTTTCCATTTTTTCTCGAGATGAATGATTATTAGGTACAACGGTGCTACATCAGGCAGGTCCAAGGTACGCTGGTAGCTTGTGAATATTTCGCAAACCCTGAGCGAAATCTAAGCTGCGTTTCTGCCTACAATTGCTCAGAATATCCTGCGCATTATCTTCTAACTATCGTATTATGTAGAAGGGTTTTGATCAACGAGACTGAATTACTTCTCTGCACTCGCTTAAGGAAGATTTAGTGGGCTGAAGAATATTCTGCAATGCTAGGTTCGCATCGTTAAAGACAACAATGCTGAAACAACTTGAAAATTTTTGCCGACTAGGCAAAAATGCTAGCGCGCAACTGTTAAAAGCATTTTAGATTGACAATAAGAGTAAAAAATAAATAGTAAGGAAGGTAGCGCATGATGACAAGTCAAAAGGAGATTTGTGGCATGGTTTTGACTATCGCTGGCCTTTCTCTCTACAAATCACTCTGCTATCGTCAGGATCACAGGCTTGCCTTAGTTCTAGTGGTGCTTTTACTTTCTTCTATCTGGGTTATCCTGAGTTTTTTTGCCGTCTAAAAAGTTAGGTTGCCTCTGTTTTTGCGGCAGATTCTGTCGGAGACGAGGGCGTAGAAAGGCCAATAAATGATTGTTGATCACTCTCGAACGTTGGTATACGAGAGAACAGCGCAAGTTCTCTGGTTGAATCTTCAGAATCTGAAGATATCGAATTCCCCTTACGTAAACAACCGTCATAAAGAGTAGGTATTGCCTTGTTATTTGCTCGAAACATACTTTCTCATCTAGAGTGATGCGGTTTAGGTAGAAAATGTTTAGTAAGTTATCTTACTTCAGTTTGCCCACTGGAGAGCTGGCGCTGAGTTTTGTGAGAAAATTTGGGATAGATGAATATATTGCCTTAAATCAAGTATTCTGTGGTAGCGACTGACTGGCGCCCGGATCCTACTGAGCGGAGAAATTGCTATCCAAGGACTGATCGATACTGTAACCAATAGGTTCACTGGGAAGCAGGGTTTTTTTTTGAAAAGCAATCTCCCTTTTTAGCGACGTGTTCTTTAACTTTCGTCAATATAATATGAAAAGAAGAAGAATATGTTGACAACGAAATGCCTTCGCTTATCATATGATTGATTACGAATGCGTTCAGTCGTATAATATTATTGCCTGAAGTTATATTATGAGGTGAATCATCAAACCGTCT